TCTCTCTCTCTCTCTCTCTCTCTCTCTCTCTCTCTCAGTACAAGTGAATCATCGCGAGGACATGTATGTATCCGGATATCCCATTCTTCCAATGATAAAGCTGTGACATCTGTCTCCTCGGTCTGCTAGATCATCGTGTTCAAATATCCGGATAATCTACCATCTGTCTACCCGGTCCGTGAGATGATCGTGTTCAAATATCCGGATAATCTACCATCTGTCTACCCGGTCCGTGAGATGATCGTGTTCAAATATCCGGATAATCTACCATCTGTCTACCCGGTCCGTGAGATGATCGTGTTCAAATATCCGGATAATCTGACAGATTTGTGACATCTGCTGGTCTTGTGTACAGAACAACAGAAGAATTGTTCAAGTCGGGAGGAGATCCAGAATCTATAGATCTATATACAGTCGTTTGTTCATCTGGTCCTGAACTGTGAGGAGAGAGGAGGAAAGGGGGGGGGTGTGAAGTGTTGTCTGATGTTATGTAGTACTTTGGAGTAATAAATACATTGAAGGAGGATTGTGGGTGGTTGGCGGGTGCTCTGGTATGGTTTGCTCTTTCTTTCCTGTAAAAATTCTATCGTCTTTATCTCCGCTCCTTCTTTTTTTGGGTTTGTTACTCTCTTGTAACATCTCTAATCTTCGTCACTTATATGACCTTATCGTGTTGCAAGTGCTGTAAAACTTTTACTAAATCGAAGGAGCGTTCAGGTGAAAAGTGATTACTCAGCCAGCTGTGTTGTTAATTCATGATGTATTTGAATGTTTTGCTGTGTATAACTTTAACCGGTCTTTTCTTGGGTCTGTGCGAACGCTTTTCCACTGCTCAGTGTTCGACTCTGCCGTACCCCAATATGAGAAGTAACGTATTACGGAGTCGAACACTGAACAGCTGATTTGCTGTTGCACCAACCATTTTCAGTGTCATGCTGAGTTTTGCCCATCAAATTGGAGATTTGATGTTCGTGAAAGAAGGATAATGGCGCTGAAAATAGAGGGATCAAACAAGTTCAAAAGCTTGAATATAATATGAGAAATAAAATTGTATTTGATGGCAAATACACATGTGATAGCTAAAGCTTGTTTAACTAAATTGAATCCAATCCTGAATCCTGGAAACTAACATCTCAATGACAACGTAAATTTTAAAAGATTATGTATAGTCAGCCCTTCTGCATGACTGTGAAAGCCAGATAATTACTGGAGATGACTAAAACACACAAGAGGCAACGGAAATGTGGTTTATTAGGAGACTGTTGAGAATTTAAAGAAAGAAAAGTAGATCCTGAATTTATATCGAGAAGTTTCACAGATAAATGGTGGGGGGAAAAAGTTTCACAGATAGATAGTGGGGGGAAAAAGTTTCATGAAGAAGTACTCATACTTTTTCGTCTGGGTCACGTTCCATGCCTTTGGAATCGCTCATTTGTGTCTAGTATTGTGTCTAGTAAGGCATTATCAGGCTTTCTAACCATCCCCAATTTTTTTCTGGGACATTACCAGATTTGGCGATCAAGAATTTGAGCGCCCTCATTACATACATACCCTGAACTGAACCGAAACCAGTCCCCCATTGATGTAATTTTGTTTTATTATTATGTAAACTGATGTAGCTTTAATGTCGAGTGTCCCTGTTAAGGTTTTGAAAAAAGTTGGCAAACCTGCCAAAAAATTCCAAATGTATTGCTCATTTTTTTTATCAACCATGTACTGTCATTATGTCCCCTCCTTCTTTTTGGAGTTTGTTACTCGCTTGTAACACCTTTAATCTTCAGCACTTATATGTGAGGCAGCGTGGTGGAATCAGGTTCTCATCAAAATAATGAAATCGAAGAAAACAGCAGTTTTCTCCCTGCTTAACAGTTTTTATCAAATTTTCTTTTTTTCCTCAACACCTTTTCTGTCCGTTTACAAACACATTCCTTTTGAGGATTTCACCGAAAACATTGATTAAAGGCACAAAAATATAAATTTACAGTTTCCATGGACTCTTCAGCTTTGGAATTTACCTAGTTTTGGTGGCCATTTTCTCACTAATTTTACCTCTTAAATGAGTTGACCCCCACCTCCTTCAATCCAAAATATCTCCACTTCTATTGAAGATGGTTGGTTAGTTTTTTTCATTGAAATCAAGACTAATGAACAAGCTTAAAGATGATACCAATAACTCAATATGCCCAAAAATTGACGAGAGCCTGATTCCACCATGCTGCCTCACATATGACGACATTATTGTGTCGCAAGTGTCGGGAAACTCTTGCTGAAACTTAAAACTAAATTGTTTTGTGATTTACTTCTTATCATTTTTCTCTCTCTAACAGCCAACAAGATTCGCCAGTGCATGAGGGAGAAAACCCGTTTGGAGACACGGACGGCGATGAAGGGGAGCCAGACGTGGAGGATCCGCCGAGCCAAGGGTGGGCCGTGCGAGCGCTGTACGACTACGTGAAGGCGGAGGACGATGAGCTAGAGTTCAAAGCTGGTGAGTTAATGTGGTTTTGTGTGTGAGTGTGTGTGTGTGTGTGTGCGTGCATGTGTGCGTGTGCGTGCGTATGACTACGTGAAGGCAGAAGACGATGAGTTAGAGTTCAAAGCTAATGAGTTACCTCTTTAAGCCCTGAGTTTTTTCTACCGTTTCCCGGAGTTTTTTTCTACAGTCACCCAAACTTAGTGCCCTATGTCTCATTATTTCCCCAAAAGCTTGCCTCCAACTTCAAAATGCTGGAGACAAAGGCTTTGTCATTACTAAAAAAAACTTGGTGGTTCGTGAATAGTTCCGAAAAGCAAGCAAAGCTAGCACTAAATACAACGAAACTTCTTTCCTATCAAACATCTATCGTCCTTATCTCCCTTTCTTCTTTTTTATGTTTTATTACTCTCTTGTAACACCTCTAATCTTCTGGTGCTCATATAACCTTATGCTGTTGCGAGCGCCGTAAAACCTTTACAAAAAAATAAACAACTTTTCCGCTGGTGGGTTGGGTTGTTTTTTTTTGGGGGGGGGGGTTCTTTTTTTTTCTTTCTGTATAAGCGTTTCTCCGTGTGCTTCATTTTGGTGTGGACACACCCGCATTCTAACTGACTTTTTGTTCTTCTGTAGGAGACATCTTCACACAAGTGGCGACGGAGGATGAGATGGGGTGGTGCAAGGGGCAGAAAGGCGGCCAGATCGGATTCTACCCGAAGAACTACGTGGAGAGGATATAGTGACCAGCGCGCAAGAGGATCTGCGTTGAGCGTCGCTTTCACTTTTTATTAGAGCTGTGAATTTGTTGGATGGAACAGAAAGCCGTAGACGTATTCTGCCTCATCCTCGTGTTTTGTTACGGTACCGGAGAAGGAAGACGACCTGGTGTCGGTTGTTGATGAAGCGAAATGACTGACGACACGACGTCCCATAGGGGATGAATTCCACCGTTACAAGTGTTTCGTCGCCTTGTATCGGTTGTTGGGTGTTGATTAAAAGGACTGCTAACACAATGAGCGATGGCATTGATTTAGATCTAACTTGACAGCTCTCTTCAAGTAGTGTTTTTTTCTTTCTTTTTTTTGGTTTTTTTTTCATTTTCTTTTTTGAGCTGGCTGGCTATGTGGTAGTTAGTAGCGGCAGAGCAGAGATTTCTGCTGTCCGAGACGTTGCGAAGTGGGATCCTCAATACTTGCAGCCAGCCGCTTCACGGGAGCGGGACTACTTCTCTCCCGCTAGCGCCACCACCTGCCACCTCTCGGGATGAGGGCACGTTTGTTCCTCGGGGCTAAAACGAGCAAAAATCCTCAACGCAATTGTCAACTCTTTTTTTGTTTTGTCTGTTATACTTACAACACGCTGTTGGCCGTATTGCGAGGCTGGATGTGTTTTTGTTGTTGTGTTCCAGCGTGTGTGTGTGTGTGTGTGTGTGTGGACGTAAATAATTTTTGAGATGTCGATGTGATGTGTTTTCCCGTTTTTCCCTGACAGATAGATGACATAACTGAGACGTGATCGTCCCATATGCTCGACATTGATCAGTCTTGTTCTGATGTGTCGTGAGATTCAGTGAGAGTGTTGTGCTGGTAGCATCTTCACCTTTTCGTATGTGTGTGTGTGTGTGTGTGTGTGTATCGGTGTCGATGTCGATGTCCGACTAGGAAAAGTGAAAACTGAAACCAATTACTTTGGTTGTAAAGTCTCCCTCCTCCCCCCCCCGTAAAGTTTTGCCATTTCGTATTGTTTGTTGAGGTGTGCTGCATGTTTGTTATTTGGGTTGTCGGTATGAAACAAGGCCTGGAGTTGTGGAATTGAGACG